TCGCATTTCTTGGATGGCGGTGATGTCAGCCTTTGTCTTCCCGAGGACATCAACCAGCCGGGCAGAGGCACCTTCCCCATTAAGGGTCCGGATATTCCAGGTGCATACCCTTAAATCATAGTCCTTTATACGTTTGCCGTGGTCGTCATCAGAAAAAGGGGGTCTCATCCGAGGCTTGTTGGAATTTTTCATTGGGCGGGGTTTTAACGTGGCGGGACCCAAACCCAGCGCACGCGAAGTTTTACGCCTTCTCACTTTAGCTCGCTCCCAAACGGGTGTTTGGTTGCTACCCAGAGGATACGTGGATATAAATAGCCAAACGTTGTGAGCTGCGATTTGGACTGTACGCACAAGAATCGCTTCAGGCCACTCCCAGGTGAATGGCAGTCAGTTTTCAACTTCTGCGCACGGAACCATCCTCCAATCAGAATTCTAAAAAAGCGGATTTTCGGCCCATGCTAATGTATAATATATTTTTAATAAAATTCCTTGATAGGCTAGTCCGATCTAATTATCTCTAGTGCAAATAAAACAAGTTTATTCCACTATTACAGCCTAACGTCTCGCTGAACTTATTAGCATCATCAGGGGCGCGTTGTTTATTTTTGTCTGTTACAGCAATATAAGAATATATATATAAGAAGGAACATTAAAAGCAGAAAAAACACAAACAAGAACATACATACATGTGTGTATTCATATGTGGGTAGATATGGAGCGATGACATAAAAATACCTTAAAGAAACGTATGTATCAATGTCTGTAGGTATATACATAAACATATGTAATGTACGCACTTACACCTATGTAAATATGTATATATATATAAAACGTATAGAATTAAACGTAAATATATTTTATGTGCATGAGACATATCATATTTATTATATCTCAATTATCCTCTCAAACGAAAACTTCCTAAAATACTTGAAAACTTCACATGAAGGAACCTTTTACTTGCTGAAGTTTCAAAACGTAGTACTCCTTTTATGTTCCTCTCTTTTTTGGAACATATTTTTGTCGATTACTTTACTTAGTTACTCGACGCTTAGCGACTATACTTCTCTTCACTATCCGCATTCTCAGTGAGAGGAGAGAAGGAAGTGTATTCGCTAGAAAACTTCAATGTGAAGCGAAATGTCTTCCAATACAGACCTTTAGTACATAACGGGTGATTTTTTTGAGGTTAGGATTTTCATGCATTAGTATTTGACAGATCACGTGGGATTTCAGACATGGTTTCAAAGAGAAAGATGCTCAGTATGCTTTGACATTTCATCATGAATAGACTTACTAACGAGCAACGCTTGCAAATCATTGAATTTTATTACCAAAATCAGTGTTCGGTTCGCTTTACGTCCGATTTATGGTCTACATAATCGACCAAGTGAGCAAACAATTAATGCGATTGTGACCAAGTTTCGCACTCAGTTTACTTTATTGGACATTAAACCAACCACACGAATGCGTACAGTGCGTACAGAAGAGAATATTGCGTCTGTTTCTGAGAGTGTTGCTGAAGACCGTGAAATGTCGATTCGTCGCCGTTCGCAGCAATTGGGTTTGCGAAACACATTTCGAACCGAACACTGATTTTGGTAATAAAATTCAATGATTTGCAAGCGTTGCTCGTTAGTAAGTCTATTCATGATGAAATGTCAAAGCATACTGAGCATCTTTCTCTTTGACACCATGTCTGAAATCCCACGTGATCTGTCAAATACTAATGCATGAAAATCCTAACCTCAAAAAAATCACCCGTTACATATACTGTATTTATCAATGTTTAGTTTAATAATATTTGGATAATAAAAAAAACATATTTTTACTTTAATACCAATGCTTCTTTTCAGGCCTCAAAACGGTGTACCGAAAATCTTCGGAAGTCAACGGCAAGATCTGAGTTGGAGTTATGCAACATATTCAGTGAAATAGCTAAGGAAGTCAACAATAGTGGCGGTGTAAGCACCACTCATGTCATCACCGGTTCTTAATATAGGTTTTTTAATTTGTTTTTTGTAATTAATAAATAAATTTATATACACTTCTGCGCCTTTTTGTAATGTTGCCAATATTTTTAAAACTTTACATGAACAAAATAAAAGAAGAATAAATCTTGTAGAATACCTACAATTCTAAAATTAAAAAAATTCATATGGGGATCGGTGGAGATCATTGAGGTTAGTGTAACGATATATTTTTTTTTGGGGAAACAACAACAACAATTATTAAAGGTCAAAGTCAAATTAAGCATTTTCTTAAATTAATATTTCTCGAAAACCTCTTCATGGATTTTGATGTCATTTCATAGAGAATTTAATTCTCTTCAATTTGATATATGTACATATTATAAATTTACCTTTTCTAGTTTTCACAAAAATTATTACTAAATTGACCTTAATTTATTAGGTTTATTATTATTTCTTTGTGGGTTTCAAGGGTATCAATCGACGCGTCTTGAAGCCAATAATAATGATCAGAGACCGGATATTAACATTTTTAATTCATTAAAGAGTTATGCGCAAAAAACAGTTGCACTTTTTATAAAACATAATAGACATCACTGGGCGGCAGCCGCAGGTTTAAAACAAGGGAATTCTAGTTACCTCGTCCTTTCCCAAGAGTTATTCGCAAAAACACTTGCACTTTTCGCACTATGTTTTGATGCAACACTCGACCACCCATCCTGCACAACCGATTCATTGTTGATCGCAGGTAGAACTTTTAGGTTTGATTCGTTTCTACGTTATTGATACAAAAAAACGTAAAAATAAATAAATGACTGACTCAAATCAGACCGTCAGCAAGGCTGAGTTTGATCTGATTTTTGCAAAATATAGCAAACTATTGAAAGAGGAACATTCCTGAAGGTCCCACAACTACAGGACCATCCTGCCAGTTTGATTAAGATCCTGCCAAATATATGGCAATAAGCTTAATAAATATAAATTTTTAAATGTTGCATAGAGTTTAATAAGATGGCGTGGTGGAAATCAGTTTTTACCGCCATCATGATAGCCATCACAGGGTACGAAGTTGGCAAAGATGCAAGTACAGACAAAACGGTTATAATATACGAACCACCAAGTATGCACAAACCCGAACTCAATGATAAGAAAGATAATGAAATCTATGCAGTCGGATTCATAGCACTTTTTATATTTCTAAAGCTGGGATCCCACGATTGCCGCAATACACCAATTATTGGCTCATTTTATGCCCCAATCGTGTGATTTCACAATACATTGACTCATGCGGCAATAGAGGCCGATATTGTGCTTACTGTGCCCAATCAAATACGGCCCGTGTGCGGCAATCGTGTGATAGCTCGATTGGCAATCATGGGGCAATGAAAATTTCAAAATTGCGGCAATATTTATTGTATTCTTGTGCGGCAATTGAAGTGAACAATACACATCAATATTTAGGCTGTTTATTAATAATTTACTTTTTTGCTTCCTTATGTGTCCAAAAATCACTGAAATTAATATCCTTGTTTTCAGAAGCAACATAATTTTTAATTAAATTTGTATTGGAATTATAATTTTTCTTGAAGTCCGATGACGGAATCTTTGCCGCGATATATACCACCACAAGCAAAACTCATACGAGAAGAATACGAAAGGTATTTTATGTCACCAAATGGCGGACTGCCATGACAGTATAAATTTTTTAAAAAAAAAACTTAAAAGTTCAATACAGCCCACGACAAAGCAGTAGAACCTCAACATTTTGACCAGTCTTGACTATTTTTCTTCTACTTATTTAATCTTCATTATTTTCGTATAAAAGTATAGCTCATTGTCTAACAAAAACTGCATAAATCCAAATTGCAAGCTTTATACAAAAATTATAAAAATTTCTTAAACTTTTGAACACAATCCCACGGTTTTCAAATTGGATTTCTAGAAAAAAAATGGTTATTTAGTTTTGTAGCTCATTAAAATTTAGTACAATAAGGTGGAAATGAGAAGTTGCTAAAAGATCCTGTTTATTTTCAGAATATTTTTAGCTGACGGTATTATGCACTTTCTTCTCTGTAAATTACTTTGTAAACTGCATAACAAAATTTTTTCTAGAAACCCAAATTAAGAACCATTGAATTGTGATCAAAATTTTAAGAAATGTTTATAATTTTTGTATAAAGTTTGAAATTTGTGGTTTTTACTAGACAATGAGCTATGGTTTTATAGGAAAAAATTAACATTAAACAACAGAAGAAAAAAGTGAAGACTGATCAAAATGTTAAGGTGCTATCTTTTGTTGCGAGCTGTACATATAATTATAAAATTTCATTCCAAACATAAATTATGTAAATTCGCAGCTTTCATTTAAACAAACATAACTATTTTGTACCAATTTTACTTGTAATGAATAAAAAAACCTCTACGTAACAAAATTAAAAAGAAAACTGTTGCAACTTCAACTCCACATAGCACGTTGCAGTTATCGTCGAAAAATAAAAAAAACTATACACTCAAACTTCTAAATAAATGCGTGAGTTTTCATTGGACACAAGTTTTTGCTTCTTTGCTTTCAAACAACAAGAAATTTGCACAAAATGAGCCCGCAATATACAAAGCAGATGCAACTGATTTATTTTTTTATTAAGAATACGCCATTTTTACACAACAGAGAAAAAAACAGAATTTAGAAGTCAGTGCAACACACATGGCCACAATTGCCGCATGCTCGAACAATCGTGTGATAAGTTTGGGGCAATTATTGTCACTATATTGCTTTTCGCCAACTTACGGCAATGAGAATTGTTTAAAAAGAGGCAACCGTGTGACTGTACAGAATTTCATTGGGACAATTTTTTTATTGTGCTCCAATACAGCACAATAAAAATTGTTCCAGATTGGTCCATTTGCGGCAATCGTGGGATCTCAGCTTAATACTTGTGGCTATATTAATGGTATTAGAAAAATATTTGAACAGACGACTACGTCTAATACTTGTGGCTATTTTCATGGTATTAGAAAAATATTTGAACAGACGACTACGGTGGATGAGAATTAAAGCACAACGTATATAAACGTTGAGAAAACTGCAGAAGAACACAACACATGCAAATTGGGTGCAATTCTAAACTAGGTTTAAACTAATATATAAATACATTACATATAATTTATTGCATTCATGTTAGTAAGAGTCAAAACGGTAATCAAACCAGCTTGTGGTTAGGCGAAAATTAAATATGGCAAAATGTCTATAAAACTTGTTGATGTAATACAAAATATAATATTAAGGGTTCAGTTTATCAGTAAAATTATTTATATATTTCTTAATTATAAACACAATTTTTGAAAAACATAATTACATAAATCTATGCATACAAATATCCACCAAGAATAAAAACAGGAAAAAAATAAAATAAGAAAATCGAATACTTAATTTTAAACAAGGAGTCAGTTCAAAGCGAAAACAAAATGCCTGAGTTAAGTTTCGAAACAGCTATAAAAGATATTCCAATTTTTTCCGGAAATCATAGACTTGGGAAGCATTTCTAAAAATTATCGAAATAATTTATAACGGTCGAACTGAAAGAGGTAAATTAGCACTGATAGATTTTGTGGTTTGGGTCTCTAGGGAACCATGGGGGGCCTGGGTGGTCGGGTGTTGCATCAAAACATAGTGCGAAAAGTGCAAGTGTTTTTGCGAATAACTCTTAAATTAATTAAAAATCTTAATTTCCATTCTCGGATTGTTATTATTCGCGTTAAAATGCGTCGATTGATACACCTCTTGATTTTTTTCGGTCAATTTTGGCCTGGTTCCGCTGAAGTGCACTTTTACCAAAAACATTATACTTCTTTTCCACATTAATTTGATTTTTGTGAAAACTATAAAAGGTATATGTATAAATATGTATATCAAATTAAATAGAATTAAATTCTCTATAAAATGACATCAAAATTTTCCAAATCCATGAGGAGGTTTTTGAGAAATATTTAATTTTATCTTTGACCTTTAATAATTGTTGTTGTTGTGTCCCGAAAAAAAAATATATATATAGGTGGAAAATGGTCTCTATCGATACAATTTTTTTTTTAATTCGAGAATTGTAGGTTTTGTGCATTTGTTCCAAAACAAAAACAAATTGGCAGAAATTGTTTTGTTTTGCTTTATAATTTTTGGGAATAGTTGTTCAAATGGAACTCGCCAACTGAGGGGTTAAGTTCAATAATATAAACTTTCCTATTCCGAATAAAATTTTCGCCTGGATTAATTAACTTTTCGCTCTAACCTATTGTGAATTAGTGGTGGCAAACTATCGATAGTGGACACCATCGATAGTTAATGCTAGTTTTTTGGGTCACTATCGATTGTGCCGATAGTCATTTTTTCCGATAGTGCGCTTCCATCGATAGTTCCGATAATGCGCTGCCGTCGATAGCCTCGATAGTGTGGATGATTTTTTTAATTTGAATGCAGCAAAAAGACATGTAAAAATTACGTTTGAAGGTAATATGAATTCATTTATTTAAATAATAAATAATATAATAAATTGCAGTTTATAGTTGCTGAAGAATTCCGTTGATTTTTGACAATTTTTTTGCTATCAGTGTCACGCATTTTCTTGCATATAAAAACGAACTTTGTATAGAAGAAAATGCGTGACACTGTTTATTATATATAGATACTAAAATTCAAAGGACTATAAAATTGCTTACCAAACATTTTTCTCAAAATTCTGATTCCAAAGTTTGAAATTTTGGTGGAATGAAGTGAGGAATTTTATTAATTGTTGCACAAAGTTTGAAACTGGGATTTACATGGCTTTCGTTAGACGATAAGCTGGGCTTTTATAAAAAATTAATAAGCTTTAAAGAGAGAGAAGCTAAAAAGAGAAATATGTCGCGTCACTATAAAATGTTCATTAATTTACTAAAATTTTTGTTTATTTACTTATACAACTTTAATATTTTTACTTTTATGATTTTATGTGGAATTTTCTTGTACAAAAAGTTTCATGACTTAAGCTCTAGTTTTCCGTAAAAGTTATTACCAGGGAACGGATTTTATGGAAGTTGCCTTTTTTTCTGCTAAAGAGATAGAGTATATTCGATTAAGAATGTCCACGATTTAGCCTTCCCTGATTCCATATATACACATTTGATGATGCCTTTTTTGCCTTTTTTAAGATATTTGCCTTTTTTTGCCTTTTCTACCTTTAAAAAAGTGATTATAGCATTTACAATTTTTTTTTTTAAGATTAAAAAATATACACATGCCCATGCGGCTTATAGAAACGCAGGGACCTCTTGCCAAAATCGAATGAAAATGCTGCCAGAAAACTGCATATTGTGGTTCAATGTTACTACAACTATACAGATTAAATAAACTCGAAAGGATAAAATAGTCAAAGATTCAAAGTACAAATTTTTCATATATGAAACTAGTTCATAGTTTTTCTCTTTTTACTTGTAATATAAACATTTCTAAAATAAATGTATTTTTTGATTGTTCTGTATTTTCTGTCTTTTCATTGCCTTATTTTGCTTTTTTTGCAATACCTAGTGCCTTTTTCGCTATTTTGTTTTGCCTTTTTTGCAATACCTAGGCCTGCCTTTTTCGCTATTTTATTTTGCCTTTTCCAGCCTATTTCGTTATTTTATTTTGCCTTTTTTATAGGTTTTTAGGTCCTAAAAGTCCTTTCCCTGGTTATTACATATACTGAAACACATGTAAAATAAACATATCTATAACAAACACGTTACCTTTTACATTGTGAGTTAGCTATTTGTCAATATTTTGTTACACTATCCACACGAGTATTATACAAAATTTCACACAAACGCGTTTCAACATAGATATGGTACATAAAAATCATGCATAGATATGGCAATTCCTCGATAGTGTCGAACTTCAAACATGCCTGATAGTGGTCGCCATCAATAGTTGCGATAGTGATGTCCCATCTCAGAGTGTCCAGATTTGGCGATTTCGCGCCGATTTGGCGATTTTTTTTTGGATATTTGCGCGTAAAAATTTAGGAAATCGCCATTGGCAATTTTTTGCGATTTTTTCTCCTTCAAATAAATTTTTCCGAATTATAAAAATATACAAAACTTAGTTTTCCACGATAATTTTACAGAAGAGGCTAATGAACTGCGTGATAAACTTGACTTAACAATCATATTAAAAGACTGTCAAAAAATTTTGATCACCCTAATCGAAGAACTTTTGAAACGATTACCTAGTCAATTAAATACTTTTAAAAAAGCTTTGATTTTGTCACCAAAAAAGTGCGTGAAGGGAAGAAAAGCAGCGGAAACTGAATATTTAAATCTTTTAACTTTCCCACGGAATAACTTTTCTCAGAACCATTCCATCCGACTCTGCAGAATTTTGGATAATTGCTTACGGAGTGAAAACCGCAACAGGCAATAAAATGTTTGGAAATATAAGTAAATTCATTTTATTATCCTTGCCGCACTCACATGCTTTGTTGACAAAGCACAACAAAAACTAAGATTCGAAATAGGATGATGTTGGAAAGCCTTAATTCAATAGTTCGAATAAAGTGTTATATGAAGGATAATAGTTTCTGCTGCAAAACGTTTCCAATATCAAACAGTATGTTAGGTTGAGTAGCTCAATATATGACAACAACAGAACTGTAAATCATTCAGACACTATAGGTGATTTTAAAGAAATTGTGGAAATAGCTGATCTCGCCTTATTATAGGTTGTTATTTAATTTTTAGCGCCGAGCTCTTAAAAGCGGATTGTGCGATTAATCAATTAATATGAGTTATAATAAATTGCAATCCTATTGCAAAATGTGTTGAAACAAATATTTTTAAAAAGTATGCGTATTTTTAAAGAAAATTGTTTGTACATCACTATTATATAAGTGATTTGTGTTATTTATTATTATTCCTTAATTAGGCGCATAAAGAAAATCACACAATTAGTCGCATGGGGTCCCCAGTGACCCCAATAAAAGTGTTGAAAAGAGTTTTCAAAATAAAAATAGGAAGTGCGTATTAACAAAAATATTAAACTACTCTATTATCATTAACTTAAAAAAGAAAATCATAATTTCGACTTCAAACTTAAAAAAAAATTTAAAACTTACTTCCGCGAAAAAATGTTACGTTAGTAGGCGCATGGGGTCAGCACTCAAGCGAGTAGCGACACATGTGCTAACTAAATAAATAAAACGAAATGTATTTTGTCATAAATATTAAAGCTCTTTATTATAGTTAACTTTAAGAAAGAAAAGCATAACTTTGACTTCAAACATAGATACAAGAATAAAAACTAAAAAATGTTACATAAGTGGTCGCATGGGGTCAGGGCTTAAAAGAGTAGCGACCTATGTGACCACGCCGATGTTCTGGCCGTGACTTATTTACGTACCCCACGGGAGTTAGGAAGCTAGACAGAGCGCGAGCACGCTCCAAGCACTCCAAGACATTTTTTTTCAACTTGAAATGACCTTGACCCCATGCGCCTAATTAAGGGTTAAATGTATTATATTCGTTTTTGGTTTTAAAAACTATATTATAACAAGATCTCATTTGTAAAATAAAAGATTTGTTAAATCGATTTCATGAATTTTATTTAAAAAAAAAATTGGCGATTTTTTTCAGAAATTGCGTTTTTTTAACAATCTGGACACTCTGTGTCCCATCGGTACTATCGATAGTGACATCGATAGTTTGCCACCACTATTGTGAATGTTTTCACCCTACATTTTTCGCATGTTCGAAATTTTCCGCCTTATTGAGAATAGAAAAATTTTGCCGAAATTTTGACATTCCGTCATTTCTTCGTCACCAGTTTTTCAATACCAATTTTAACTTGGACTGCGTTCATATTGAGACTGTGACGGCAGCATAGTTCGGTCGTGTTTTCTATCGCTCTGTGTTTATTTTCATTTATCTCGCAATAATGTCTTTATGTACTAATTGTACGGCCCATTGTGGGCTGAAAGAAAAAATCTTAAACGCGTTTTCGGATTTGGAAAAATTAAAAAGCATTTTTATCGCATTAATTGAACCAGCAAATGATAATTCTATTTCGCCGGCTCCTGCTACTAGTGGAAACAAAAGCACGACGCGTTCGCAAGCAAAAGCTAGTGATAGTGTTGTTGCTCAGCCTGGTAAATTGCCAAAGCGCGCATTCACTGCGCCATCTAATGATGCCGTTGCTGACTCTAATACCGTGGCAGTACGAAAAAGTTCTGAAATGCATTGTGTTTCTGATGCGCCGGGTATAAATACTGGTTATACCGCTCTTGATGTAGTTGATACTAATACCGGTTTTTCAACTACTCCTAGTAGTAATACCGGTTTTTCTGCTGCTGTTGCTTTTACTCGCTCGCCAACTACTCTTGGTAATAACATCGGTTTTTCTGCTTCATCTCTTCCGCCTGCTTGTACTTCTCCCTGTTCACCAACTGCTGGCCCCGCTAACGCTGTGCCTACGTATGCCGCTGCTGCGGCTTTGGCGAACAATGCTAGGTAGACCAACGCACAAGCGAAAAACGCAACTAACAATGCGCAAGCAAATAATGCACAGTGGTCCGCTATGGATAAAAAGCGTACTCATAAGAGACATAGGCGGTGTGTATTTGGGTCAAATGAGAACTCGGAGCTGGGAGTTGTTGTTCGCCGCAAATGGCTGCACTTATCATCGTTTTTGCCTACTGTAAGGACTGATGACATCATTGGCTATGTGGCTAAATATGCAGCTATCGATAAGAAGACAATTGTATGCTATAAACTGGTCAAAAAGGATTCTGATTTGGAAACTATTAAGCACATTAATTTCAAGCTTGGAGTTTCAGAATCTGACTACTCAAAAATTCTGTCATCGGATATTTGGCCCTCCAACGTTGCTGTCCGGCCTTTTGATTTTTTCCAAAAAGATGCCCGGCCGCAGCCCAAGAAGTAAAAAGTCATTCCACCTCTGGTGATCGGAAAATAAGTATCTATCACCAAAATACTTCGGGACTCAGGACAAAATCCGAATCTGTCTACATTCTCAGCTCACAATTGGATTATGGCTGCTTCGTTCTGACAGAAACCTGGCTGAATGCTAACTTTTTCGATGCGGAGTTCTTTAATCCAGCTCTCTTTGACGTTTTTCGCAAAGACAGAGATTTTGCTAAAACTGGTGTTAGTAGGGGTAGTGGTGTACTGATAGCTGCGCGCAGATATCTTCGAGCTTCTTTTTATCCGCTGCTAGATGCCAACTCCCTGTTGGACCAGCTTTGTGTAAAATTACATAGCACCTGTGGTGTGCTGTACATTTGTGTGCCCTAAATTCCGCCGGGCAGCTGTGATGTCATATACAAAGTATATTGTCAACATATACTGGCACTCCACGAGAAAATTGGAAACAGCCAACTTTGTGTTTTAGGTGACTTTAATTTATGTAATATTTCCTGGAGCTTTATTGATAACAATATTTTCCTCACCCCATCAAATGTTACTACTTTATCTGAATCATATTTAATTGATAATTTATTATGTATTGAATTATTTCAAATCAATGGTTTTTTTAATGAGTTAAACCGAATTTTAGATTTAATATTTATTAGCTCTAATATAAATTTCAAGCTCTCTCATGCGGCCAGTTACATCTCCCCTCCAAATCAGCATCATAGCCCTATGGTTTTGGAGTTTGAATTTTACCAATATTTTGAATTACCGACTGATAGTCAGACGGTTGCTTTTAACTACTCTTGTTGTAATTTTGCTGAATTGAATAATTTGTTTGATTTGGATTGGTCCCAGCTCTTTGGAAATGTGGATGTAACTGGTTGCTACGATATTTTTAAGTCTAAACTTTGTGATATTTGTGTGGGTCACATCCCAATTCTTAATTCGAAAACCGCTAAGCGTCCATGGTTTACTAAAGAACTCAAACGTATAAGCAATAAGAAGAATAAGTTCTACAAAAGACAAAAGCATTCCAACGATGTTAATTTGCGTGAACGTTACGTGTTTTATAGAGCTGAATTTAACAGGCTCAATAAATCTTTGTATAGGAATTATATTCGCGGCGTAGAAAGCAATATTAAATCTAACCCCAAGTTCTTCTGGAGTTATATTAAATCAAAGAAAAATTGCTCTAATATACCTGCATCGGTCCAGCTTAACGGGGTGTCAGCCAACTCCATCTCCGAAGCTGTTAATCTTTTTGTTGATTTTTTTTCTTCCAACTTTATTTCAGGTAATTCTGATAATGATTTTATTCTTTTGTTTGTTATTCTTTTGTCAAATTTAGATACTCCCATTAACTTCGGGAAATTAAAGTTGACAGACGAGGATGTAGCTAATGGCATTAACCAGCTTAAACTATCCACTAACACTGATGTAGACGGCCTCTCGGTTATTTTATTTAAAAGTTGTCCTTCACTAATTGCGCCTTTGAGGCACATTTTTAACATGTCTCTATCTGCCGGAGTTTTCCTCGATGACTGGAAATTGACTTTTATTACGCCAATTCTTAAAAGTGGTAACAAAAATTGTATTGAGAATTATAGGCCGATTTCTAAGCTTACCACTGTCTCAAAACTGTTTGAGTCCATAGTAAAAGATAAAATTTACTTTGCTGTTAAACATTTATTATGTCCCAACCAACATGGGTTCGTGCCGGGCAGATCTACGTTAACCAATTTAGCTCCTTTTACAGAGGACTGTTTGGAAACCTTTCAAAAGGGATTCCAAATTGACGCTATATATACCGATTTCTCTAAGGCTTTTGACAGGGTGCCTCATCGAATATTGATAGCTAAACTTGAAGGCCTGGGCTTTCATTCAGAGTTTCTGAAGTGGATCACATCCTATCTGTATAACAGACGCTGTGTTGTTCGTTTTGATAATGTATCGTCTTATTCTTTTGTCTCCTCCTCTGGTGTTCCCCAGGGTAGTGTCTTAGGTCCGTTATTATTTGTTATCTTTATTAATGATATATCTTCCTGTTTCTCAAAGTGTAAGTTTCCTCTATATGCGGATGACCTGAAGATATACTATGAAATTAAAAATAGAGAAGACTCATTGATTCTCCAGGGTGAGCTTGATAATTTGTACTGTTGGTGTGCGCGTAATCGTTTGTCCCTCAATATTGGTAAATGTCATTATACCTCTTTTGCAAAAGTGATTAGTATTGTTCCAAACTCTTACTGTTTTTCGAATGTCCCGCTAAAATCAATTACTGATTTTAAAGACTTGGGTGTTTATTTTGACTCCAAGCTCACCTTCACCACCCACATGAACTTTATTGTTTCTAAATCATTCGCGATGTTGGCCTTTATTCGTCGCAACTGCTCGTCATTTTCCGATCCTTATACTCTCAAACTGTTGTATTCGTCTTTAGTTCGGTCGAGGTTAGAATACGCTGTATTTGTTTGGAGACCTTTTCATACAGTTCATGTGAACAGATTGGAGTCTGTTCAGAGGGCTTTTATACGCTTTTCTTTGCGTCCGTTGAAATTTGTAGACCCTATTCCGTCCTATCGTTCTCGTTGTTTGTTGATAAATCTCATGTCCTTAGAGTCCAGGCGTACTTTGTTATCGATGTGCTTTGTCTTTGACATAATTGTAGGCTCTATAGATTGCTCGCACCTCCTTATGAAAATTCGTTTTAATGTTCCCTCACGTATTCTTCGTTGTAATGAATTATTTTTTGTGGGTGTTGTTAAAACTGTTTATGGTATGAATGCTCCTTTAAGGAGGACTCTCTCCCAATTTAATGCTTATTCTTCATCTTTAGACTTCGATTTTTCTTACTCAAAGTTTACTTTTAAGAATTTACTCATAAGGCACTTGTCATAAAGGTTTCCCTTATTCTATGTATATATTTGTCATATAGTCTGTAAGCGTCCTGTTTGTTGATAATAATAATAATAATAATAATAATATTAAAAGGCTGTCTGACATTTGATTGGATAATCTGTATATTCTAAAACAAGGCGCTTATTCACAGCGATGTACAAATCTTACAGAGATACATCAAATTAAAGGGCTCGATCTCAAATTTTGCACAAACTTTTCAGATTTAAAATTAGTTGAACCGCTTTTAAAATATTTGCGTCGAAAGATTTAAAAATTTTTACATTGAGCAAAGCATTGCCACGTTCATTTCGATAGGCAGCGTCTCTACGGGACATAAGAGAATGAAAAATTGTTCCATTTATTCGCTTCCATCCCTGTTTTTGTTTCGTATCGAGCACGTTCGTGCGAATGTAGGCAGCGATATAGCGGAAGATCTGCAAAACAAAAATGTTGCTTTTGTCTCTGTACACACACCCAAGGCCAGATTTAAGCTCAGACATAGGCATTAGCCTAGGGGCCCGTGCCACATGAACAAAAAAAAATTATATATTTACAATTTTTGAGAAACGTAGCAGGCACTCAAGGCCAGTCAATGAAACACATGCTTATGTAGTTCATTTTCTACCCTAATCGAAGGGGATTCACATTGAAGTTCACGTTGAAGTACAACATTCCAGCGAAAACGACATCTCAGATAAAAAAATAAATTACATGAACTGTTTTTAAATTGGGAAAAAACAGTAAAGCAGGTAGAATAAATCTTTAGAAATAAATTCTTATTCATTTATTTTTCACTATTTTTTCTATTTTATTATTATAAATGCATATATAATATACTGTAATATGTTTGCATCATCGTATATACTTACAAGTATGGAATCCTATGCCCCTTTTTGTCTATTCTCTTTCTAACAGCGGACGTGCCTGCCAAACAGCGGACTTGCCTGCCAAACTGAAAAGCATGATGGCGGCAGCGTTTGACAGGCACGTTCGACGATGCGAATGAGAATGAAGGAATTATGAAGTAGCAGGCTGTCGAACCAAAACGAATTTCAAAATGCGAATGACTTCAAAATGAAAGAAATGCAAATAGCGAAATGTCGAAATGCTTATGAAGAAATGCTTAGAAGAAAAAGATGACAGGCACGTGTTCAAGGGTTTCGTGCAACCAAAAGAGTTGTTGTGTTGCGCCATTCAATATTAAAAAAATTTTAATGTGGTTAAATACGCTTTTTTATTAGGTTGAAAAAACTACATATTCCGCCAGCCAAAAGTGTAAATCTTGCTATAAGATTTATTTATAAAAACGGTATATGCTTATGGCCTTATTCATAAAAAATAAAATAGATTTAAAGAGCTCTCTCTATACAGTAACATTAAAAAAATAGATTTGTTTACTTTTTAAGAATTTTGGTATAATATTTAACTTAAATTTTTGTGCACCCATCTCTTATTCTCTTGATTACTCTCAAATTTTTCTTTTCCTTAATACTCATTTGACTGAGTTTCAATTACACCCAGTAAAAATCATGATAAAAACATTAGAAAGTAGAACCATTCTCTCAATTAGTCGGCCATGATTTTTTTCTGACGTTTGCAAACATTTTAAATTCATATAAACTTGAAAATAAAAAAATGAAATTGTTCACAATTGTTGTTGTTTGAGATTAAAAATGAGAATGTGTGTGTGAGCTTGAGTTCGAATTTTAAAATTACATTGCTGGCAAACACCAAACTGTCTCTCAATGATTTTACCTTGTAATGTTTTTATCATGGTAAAAATCAAAATATTTTATAAGAAATTTGTTGACCGTTTTACAACGGCATTTACAGCTTTTTTTGTTCAAATTGAAAAGATTTCCTCCTTCGCACACTTCTCTCATGCTTTTTTATCGTAGTTGTTATTCTGTTGACATCTAAATTGCCATACATTTTATGTCGTTGCCAATACATTGTTTTACGGCATTTACTCTGTGAACTTTTTTAACTACATTCATAAAAATATTATTAATTTTGGTTTATAATTTTTTTCCGTCTTGCTATTGCTGAATATCAAAAAGAAATTAATAAATAATAAAAAGTTAGTTACAATTTTAGTGAATGGTTCTTGCAAATAATAGTATATTGTGGTTGAAATGACTTGATCGCCGGCAGGAACTAATCAACTTTTTTGGCAAAACCAAAGCAGACGGGAAGGAAAAATAGTTGTTCATTAACGATTTGTCCGAAATAACGTTCTTGAAACGCGCTACTGCTCACTAAATTTGTAAAAATCAAAATTTTTTCACTTAATTGTTATATTTTTCTTCATTGTGGTAAATTTCCACATCATCACAGCAGCTGGCTGTCAAACCGAAACCAAAAAAAGATACGAGAATATTCAGGGCGCAATCTACTTTTCTATGGTTATTGTACTGCTACTTTGAATTTCTCAATTTTGACAATTCTGATCTAAAAGTAAACGAAACCTCAGAAACTTTAAATGCACTGCAATTCACTAATACCTACTTCCGCAAAACTCTCCATTTTTCGTATTTTCCTTGTTAAAAGTTATTTTAAATCATATATTTTTATCACCTTATTCATAAAAAAATAAAAATTTTAAAAAGCTTTTTAAATTGCCGTTTGCAAACATTTTTCAATTTATAAACCTTTTTTAAAGCTACTTTAGTTTTTAATAATAAGGCTATAAGAATTTAGCACAATTAAAACACGTTCCTATCGAAAAATGTATTAATAAGAAAACTGGCTGTTCTCACATTTTCTTTCAACATCCAATTCGACTGTGTTTACTTTTTGTACAGATATGTCATCTCCGCCACGACGGCGCAATCTTGTTTCTATCTTTCTTGTCAAATATGCATTATCTATATCTAACTGTCATACTACTATTAATGGTAACCATATTCATTAAAATCGTTTCAATTCGTAATAAAAGTAGTTTACATACTTCTAGTCTAAATATATTTTTTAATGTAAACTAGCTTTTTTAATTCTAAAATAAATCAACAATCTCAAGATTTATAAAAAATTTGTCTTTAAAAAATACGTTCCAAAGCATCGCTGTTGATATCACAATTCAAATGCAAATTAGAATAGAAATTTTGATGCAAAAGATTTTCCCGGTATTCATCATACAAATTTATCACCTTACTTGTCCGTATTTCGCTCTGGAAAGAAATATATTTTAATTTATATGTTTTCTGTTTTTGTTATTTTTATGGCCTTATAACAAT